CCAAGTGATCATGCACTTCTTTAAACCCAACATCATACACAGTTTATATTAGGGAATCATGCATAAGGTGTCAGGACAGCATTAGAAAAAGATGTGCATGTGCGCCAATGCACAGGACAAGGGTCATTTACAGCAGGCTGTGTATGCATCCACATTTGTGGATGCTAATTAACAAGAACGTGCTAATCCACAAGGGCACGTTTTATGGATATGTGGGCAGGCAAGCTTGGGGACTCACATGCCTCATTCCAGGCTTGGCACCACACAGCAGGGAAGTGCGGTCAGGGGAGGCAGGTGAGGCAGAGCCTCACCTAGTATTATGGAAGAAAAAGCTGTCAGCTTGTAACATGTAACCCGCTATGTAACCTGCCATGGACGGAGCACTGCCTGTTAATTACAGGCAGCGCTGCATTCGACTTTTGACAGGCAAGAGCTGTCACAGCCTCTACTCTTTGCGCCATTGGTCCAAGCTGTCCAATCAAAAAAGAAAGAAACAAAAACACTGAGGCCATCAATCTCGATGCATCAGCAGTGACGAGCAAGTGAGGGACAGGGAGGCTCCTCCCTGTCCCCTCCTTCACACCAGCTTGGGGGGTGGGGCTTCAGCCAGCGGGGGCGAGGCTGGGGATTGCCTCACCCGGAACCAGGAGGTACTGCATGCCACTGCCAAACAGCCTTTTTAAGGGACAGTCCTAAGTGAGGAAGTTGCTGGATGGTACCCTGAGACTTGAATGTAAACCTTTATCTAGATCTGCTTTTCCATTGCTGCCTAGGCCTGCCCTTAGACTTGTCTCTGCTCTGTTACGGACCGCAGCTAGTTCGTGCTCAATCCCAGTGTGACCTTGGCTAGATCCTGACCCCAACTTGTCTCTGCTCATTCCTGTTGTGTGAGCTCGGCTAATTGCTGACTATGGCTAATCTTTGCTCACCTTCTGGAGTGACCTTTGCCTGCTTCCTGATAACGACTCTGCCTGCTACCCTACCTGCTGTCTCCTTGGCTACCTAGCCACCTGTCCAGACCACGTTTCCAGCCTGCTGTGTGTATCAGTGTCCTGGCCAGCTGTCTTCCGGTCTGGCCATCCACGGAACCCTCCCCTCCAGTCTGTGTGAGCACCTCACAGCCAAGATTGCCTCCAGAAGTGAGCTTCCATGAACTGAACTCCTGGCAACTGTGCCACTCTGTGCACTCTCCAGGGGTGTCTAGAGCAGAGGTGTAAGGGCAGCCCTCTTCTCATTTCAGCCTTCAACTAGGCACCTAATATAAGGACTAGAAGAGAGGAAGATGCTTATGGAAACCTATGCCAAGGCTTGCAAAATAGTAAAGCCAAGTAGTCACATTAGAACCAAAGAAGAAGGTTACACAGATGTGCTTTCATCACACTACTGGGAATTTAGTCTACGATTCTTAAAACACAACCATTTTATGGTCTGACTTCATACTGAAGAGGAAGACACATCCATCTCTTCAGCTCCGGAAGTCCAGTGATGTTACTAATTCCTAATAAACAGAAAGAATGAATACATGCTTTGGCAAACAGAGAGTCTACTTTGTGTAATGCCTGGGTCAAGTTATATTTTATGTTCATTATCATTCAAATAAATTAGACTATTAGTCCATACAACCATTTGAAACCTGACTTCAGCTATCATCTTATCCCTGGGAAAGACCAACTGCTTCAAAACTACAGAAACTATGTCATCTATTATAGCAACGGCCCTTAGGCCCCATTCACACTAAGCGATTTATCGCGCATTTTTGCGAGAAGTCGCCGGCCAATGCTATTCAGTGGGGCTGTCTTAGCTCCATGTTGCCCGTCGCTGTAGTAGGACCCTTTTTCAGCGGATTTTGCACGATTTTTCTATTTTTTTAATGGAGCCCGACAGTGAAGGTCACACTACCGTCACTGGAACGTCGCCCCGAAAGTCGCGCTATCCCGGCCGCGCGGATCTGCTGCAAAAGGTATGTCGCTTTATAGTGTGAATGGGGCCTTACAGTTATTACTGTAAATGTTAAATTCTGTGTGATGTAAACACAGCTATGAAAGCTTCCTCTATAGTTTCATATTAAACCTCCAGAGGACGTGGACATCCTGTGTGGCGGCTTCTCAGTTACTACAACTATATTAAACCTACCCTATTAGTATTAGCCGGTCACAAATGCTAACAGGACCATGGATCCACTTTTGCTGTCCGCATGGAAATCAACAGATTTTAGTTAAGTGCCAGTCACCGTGTAACTACCTCTATGCAGAGTAATACCCATACACAGAGACTACTTAGACCTCTTTAAAAAGGTAAAGTCCACTATTTGAGAACAATGTATGATATGGGTGTAACATGAGACACGGTCTCGAAGGTAAACTTAGCCAATATCCCTCAAAGCCTGCATCATACTGAATAAAACTATCAGATGAATCAAATCCAACCTGCTAAAGATACAATAGCCATACGCGGGTAGATTTTTGTACGAATGCTCATACGAAAACTCTCACCAGAACATTTGAGAACACCTTTAGAGACCTGACATTCAATTCTGGAAAGGAATAGAAATTCCTGAACAAAAAATGACTGTTAGAGTTTTATTTGTTCAAGAAATATTTTCCATTCTGCTCCTTTAATTTTTTTGTCATGCGGTTGAAAATGACCATCGACTTGACCTAATTAACTAGAGAATCAAATGAACGTTCCAAAAACAAATTGGTTTGAATGCAACATTTAACCATGTGCACCCAAGTTAGGGATAGTATAACTTATCTCCAGATCCCAGGGGTGGGCAACTCCGGCCCTCCAGCTGTTGTGGAACTACAAGTCTGACAGTTACAGGCATGACTCCCAGAGGCAGAGGCATGTTGGGATTTGAATTTAAAAGGAGAACTATGGGGTTAGGGCTTTTCCCCATAGTTCTCCTTAGGGTAACGGGAGGACACAAACTAGCGTTCTCCTGTCACCCTAAGCTCAGTATTCCGCGATCTACAGCTCGCGGTATACTAAGACGCCGCAGCTGAAGCGGATACCGACAATTATGTCTGGATCCGCCCAGCTGCGTGAGTGACTAGAGGCAGAGCCAGCTGTAGCTGCCCCCTCCCCCGTCCGTTCAGCCAGTCAGCGCTGGAGGATCGGACAGGGGAATCCAGCCCCTACCCGTCATGGCAGAGAGCCGTGACAGGATCGAGAAGTGAGCGAACGCCGGTATGTGTTCGCTCACTTCCCGATCTACTGAGCCGACCTGTGACAGTCTCATTGTCACAGGTCGGCTAGAACTATGAGGTGAGTGAAAAGCACTCACCTCATAGTTCTCCTATAAAGCACAGCTGGAGGGCCCGGAGAGTACTTTGACCTCTTTAAATGCATGCATCATACTAAATAAAAATGATCCGATTACCTAAATCCAAGCTGCTAAATGTATCAATAAGTCCTGAGCTCTGCCAACCGTCTTTTTACTATGCATCTCAGAAATGTGTCTATTTCACAATGACAACGGGCTATCTGAGCTCACATGGAACATGACATAATTCCCCACTTATATGAACTACTGATGCAATAAAACAAGTTGTAATATACAAGTATTTTTTTATGCGCACATTTTTAAAAATAGCAAGTGTTTTTAAATAGAAAAAATACCTTCTTGCTAAAACGAAAGCAGAATAGAAAACACCAACTACTTCCATCTGCAAGAACACAGAACTGGTCTCCTAGGACTTGTGCAGCCTTCACAGAACTGCTCAACATCAACCCTCAACATCCACTGCCAGGCCCACAGTGGACTGATGTTGACCAGTTCTGTGAAGGCTGAACAAGTCCTAGGAGATCCAATTTAAGGGGGTGAAGGATTTACAGGAGCACAGGTCATACTACAATCTGGGTGTACAATCTCAACTACATTTACCAAAACTATGTAATAGGAGGACAACATGCAGTCCAGCCAATTTACATCCAGCCACACAGGCCCTTATATTACATAGATGTTGGTAGCTCCAATCAGATTATATAGTGTATGGTCAGCTTAAGGCTCACCATACACTACAATCTGATCGTACAAGTCTTTATATCTACCAACAACTAGGTAGCACAAGGGACTGGCTTTCTGGATGCAGACTGATTGGATAGTTTAGGCGGGTACTCATGACATAATTTTGACATAATTTCTCCAGCTATTGTAGAACTACAAGTCTCATGAGGCATTGCAAGACTTGACAGTTACAGACATGACTCGCAGAGGCATGATGGCATTTGTAGTGTAAGCAGTGCTGGAGGGCCAGAGTTGCCCACCCCTATACTAGAGGGTAGAAGGAGAGAGCTAGCAGGGGTAGGCAACTTTGGCACTCCAATGGTGGTGGAACTACAAGTCCCATGAGACATTGCAGGACTCCTGGCAGCCACTGGCATGACTCCCAGGGACAGGTGCATGATGGGATTAGTCGTTAAAGCACAGCTGGAGTTGCCCACCCCTTGTTTTGGTAAATCTAAAGTTGATTGTACAAAGATTGCAGGTGTGTGACAACCCTCAAATTGGAGGACTACATACAACGTGTAACATACACAATCAACTTTAGAATAACCAAAACAATGTAACGCGAGGGTCTGTCTAACCTATCCAATCAGGCAGGCCCTTGTACTACACAGCTGTTGGAAGATCTGAAAGAGATTGTGACGTGTGTGGAGCTTCATACAAATCCGAATGTGTCAAATAATACAAAGCAGAAGAACCTCAGAAACACATGACCATGAAATTAAAGAAAATGACTCATGCCAGTGAGAGTGGGGCAGCCTTTGTAGAGGCCAGCTACTGCAAGGCTATGGCAGAGATGCTCCATAGAGATGAGACAGCCAGGTCGTGGCCATGGAGAGGATGCAGCTGCTGTGTGATGGATACATCATTTGGATGGCTCAGCCCAGCACTCATCACACTGGCCAGAAAGCAGAAGCATTCAGACATGATAGATCACAAGTCTGCCCCTACACTAAACCAGCATCCCTCCCTGTGCAATCAATGCACCTACCGTGCAGAGCCCCCTTCCATCCAGACAGCACAGGGACAGGCGGGGGGGGTGGTTGTTCAAAAAAGCAGCAGGGAACGAGCTGCCACTCCTTGCAGGTTGATGATGCGTTCCTCACACTCTCACAGCAACATACAGCCACAGCACAGATTCCTGTTCAGCCCCCAGATGACGTCACTGGCCCCGCCTCCTCCTTGCTCAATGTCGGCACCGAGCTGTTGCTTCAAGGCTTGTGCATGTACTGAGCAATGAGGTCAGAGCGGAGGGGCTGGCTGTGTCACCGGCTAGCACTGACAGCTGTGCCCCAACGTCCCTCATACGAGGGGAGGGCTCATCATCCCTGACATCCACACTCATCTCAGTTCAAAGCATGGCTTTTATTGACGGCTGCCTCATTCCTGCATACACAGCTCATTCATAAAAAGTCACAGACAGTTATATTTCATGAGAAAAGTACAACCCTCAAAAATAAAGATCCTTATCCTTCTATAAAGTGGTGGGTTCAGCCCCTCCAGCTGGCAAAATGGCTGCATTTGATTGGATACAAGCACTATTGGGGAACATTTTAACAGCGGGCTCCTTCAATTTTGTAATGGAAGGATGGGAGACAAGGCCACCCACCTATGGCCAGTTCATCAAGAACCAGCTCTAAGTTGGGTTTACACGGTTAGAAATTCGACCAAAGAAACAACATCGAATTCAGAATGTTCGTTCGACTTCCCGAGCGTTGATGTGGTCAAAGCGATGATTGATTTCGACCGCAGGGAGGAAAAAATTCAAAGGAGCATGTAGGAAAAATGTTTCTCCATTGAACGAAATTCAAACAGTGAATGTGGTTTTCGTTCAGGAAACGCCATTCGTTCCAAAATCGAATGTTAAATGAAAAGGAAAATTAAGCACAATTTCGAATGACAATTGCTAAGCCTCTGATGATATTGCCGAATGTCACCACAGGAACGTTCATACAAAAATCTACCCTTGTGCACACTTGTGAATGGGGCCAATTGGGTGAGTGGGGAATTGCTCTGTGAGACTCATGTGAACTGCTGCAGGTGGGAATCACTGTACAAGGCAATGACAGCTGCCAGTGCCCGCAGCCATTCATATGTAATTAGACATCTTGCCTGCAGACAATCACTCCTGGACACAAACAGTGTGTTCCATGGTTCTCGCCTTTAGGTAATTACAACATGTCCAATTACATGCAAATGGCTGTGGGTGCAGTCAGCTGTCGTTGCTTTGTATAACCACTCCGCTCCTCAGGCAGGGGCTCCTCATATTGAGGCAGCCTGAGGAGGTAGCCTCAGGCGGCATCTCATAGGGAGGGGGCAGCAGCATGGCCGACTAACAGCACACCCAGGGCCGGTGCTAGACAATTTTGTTCCCCAGGCAAGAGCAGCACGCGGCCCCATTCTCCTGCCATGTAGCTTCTGCAGGCAACAGGTGGATGAAATTTAATTTGAAATAGACAATAGCAGACTGGCTAATACAACCCCACCTACTGAGCAGAGGAGCGGACCTGAGAGAGAAAGTTGTCGCTCAGTTCCGCTCCTCTTCTTAGTGGGCAGGTGCAATAGCCAGCCAATTGGCTTGTGCAATATGAAATAGATGGGGGCGGCGTGAGTGGTTAAGGCTTCGCCCTAGGCGGCTGCCTAGTTTGCTAGTGGTAGCACCGGCCCTGAGCACACCCCCTTCCCCTGGCTGCCTTGTTCCGCCTTGCTGACATTTCAGAACACTGCTCCCCCCTTCTTCTGGCCGCCGCAGACAAAAAGTAAGGTAGGAACGGCCCAGTCTGCAGGTGGATGCATAGTGGGAAATGCTGTACAATGCAATTGCAGCACATTCGATTACATGCAAAAAGCTGCAGGCGCTGTCAGTTGTCATTGCTTTGTATAGCACTTCCTGCCCACAGCTGTTTGCATGAATCTCAAGGAGCAACTGGTGAGACTCATCCAATCGCAAGTGTGACTTTTCTGGGGAGAATTGTTCTTTAGTCTATGATATCATGATATGAACTGGGAGGACTCCTTAAGATAACAGAGTTATGAATCTCTAACATAATAGACAGATTTTCTTTGCAATTATCGAACATGCAACAAAGTGCTTTCAATTGTATTTATAACAGACCAAAAGGGAGCAAAGAAGAAAAGATCATTGTTAGTTATGTACTTTCTATGGAAAGGCAGATTTGTCACCACTCATTCTTACTGAAACATCTGCTTTTCTGTTGCCTTTCTAAAGGTGCCCATGCACTGTACGATTCTCGTACGAGAATCGCGGGGAATCCCAACAGTGTATGGGCACCTTAAGCCTCCTCTGTGTCCCCTCTGCAAATGAGCAAGACTGAGTGTAAAGGTGCCCATACACCTTACGACCATCGCAAGACTTTTGTCTTGCGATGGTCGTATGCTTTTTGAAAGCTCGTACGATCTGCCCACCTTGGACGGGCAGATCGAGCACCTTTAAACCTGTCCTATACATGTTCCAGGGCACAGTGAAGCTAATCGCATCCATCTCCTTCACCCATTAGTGACCAGGCTAATTTGTGCCTTTTTTAACTCCTGAAATTACAGCAATTACAATGTGGAATCTGATGGGTTTGTTCATCTTCATTGCTCCATTTACTGTGCCCATGGCTATTAGTAGCAACCTGTTAACAGGAAATGTGAGCCTAGTGTGAATATTCATGTGAACTCTTCTGTAATCATACTGTACTCTTATGAGAGTCTGTAGAGACCATTCACAGTACAGTGTGGACCGCTGTGACATTACACACCAATAAGACTTGGTAAAACCACTGATTTTATGTTGCTAACTATTTGATAATGGCATAAGTATCTTAGGGTACATTCAGACTTAGGTGTTTTTAATGGCTAAGTTTACCTTTCTGCCCATGTTACACCCATCTCCCATCTTTTTACATTCAGTACGGCAGTGAGTGTGAGGTAGCCACAGAGCCACGTCCACAGGATCTGTGAATAGGGAAACCAGCATGGCAGAGGAACTTGTAATTCTCAATAAAATACAACTGCAGTGACATCACCATACTTGTAATCCATTCATTCTCCCGTGCGTGTTACTGAATGTTCATACCAGGGACGGGAGGGAGAATCTGCACCCATGATCCACTGATAGTGGTTACAATGCTTCAGTGGCTCCAAAGTGACAAAATAATATACACATATTTTTCTTTTATGAAGAAATGTGCTTCCGCTATTTTTTTTTTTTTAAAGGTAGACTTTACTTTTAAAATGCCTTTTTTTAAGCATCATTCATTATATTATGTCATAATATATAGAGATATATTATATCATTCATACATGCTTTAATTAGGCACCATTCTCCTGAACAGGAAACATTTGCCCACTTCCTGTTACACAGCACATATAAAACATGCATCTACACACTCACGTATTTTGTAAAGCAGAGGTGTGAATTCATTCTTTAGGCTGGCTGCTCATCTATGGGTTAGAATTGTATGCTGTAAAACACTTACTATAATGCAGTCATATGGAGCCATTTATTTTACACAAATTAGCATTATGTGCGTTTCAACTTTCCCGTGAAGCATCAGTACGTTGGAAAAATTGGTGTCATGTTTTATGTGCAGGTGGTGTGTAGGCAGCCCATAACGCTGCATGGTATCAAGCATGCTGTATTGTACTACAGCAAAACAGATGTGTGGTAGGGCCAAAAAGTTTATCTACAGCCAGAAAGGTTGTTTCCACTGTGGCAGCCCAAAAAACCATCTCTAAAGCTGGCCATACACCTATAGATTATCTGCAGATTTTCTGTGGTCAGATGGAAAAAGTGCAACTGATTCCTCTATCTGCTCTAAACTGTGTGGATGAAGGAATCTCCCGCTGGGCCAAGCTTCAGTATCTTGCTAGTCGGTCCCGCTGAACCATGCCTGCCTCCAACCATTATTATCGTTCGATTAATTTCACAATTCAAATAATTTTGCTGTATAAAAGATGGGGACGTTTTAAAAAAAGAAGTAAAGCAAAACTTTGTTTTTACTTTCATTTGGGTACTTGTGTGACCCAAAGTCATCATATAGTGAAGAAGCCATGAGCTGAGAGTTAAGTGGTCACTCAGATCTCAGTATACAGTATAGTGCCAGCCTGTGACAGCTGCAGTGTGCCATGCTGGCTCTAAGTATTGGGACGAGTATATTTTACTCTACTTTTTAAAAAAATTGCCCTGCCCAAGGTGTCAAACAGGCAAGGTGCAAGTTTTGTGCAGGGGTCCCCTAACACTGTAACATTGTTTTATGGGTTCCCTCAGGGTAAACAATTTAAGATATTGCTGTACAAGAGAGTTAGTTGAAACAACCAAGGTTACTGATGAAAAAAATATTTGCCCAATAAAAGGTTAGTAAAATGTTCTGTAGTGTTTAATAGCTCATGATTTAAAGTGGAATTCCAAGAATTTAAAAAAATTGACCCTTTGAGTGGGGCTAACCACATTTTGCAAGGGTTAACTGCTCATTATGGTCTAGGGCCGGGGTAGGCAACCTTGGCTCTCCAGCTGTACTGAAACTACAAATCCCATAAGGCATTGCAAGCCACAGGCAGGGCTCCGAGGCAGAAGCATGATGGGATTTGTAGTTTCAGCACAGCTGAAGAGCCAAGGTTGCCTACCCCTGGTCTATATATATATATACATACATACATACATACATACAGGGCTTGAAAAATCCACTTGTCCGCTGTGACGAGAGGACGGTGGAGCCCGACGAGCAGCTTTACATTCAAGCGATCACTTGTATTAGCCGCTGTCACTGCCAAGATCCGCTGTGACCTATGCAGCCGGGGCGGCACGGCTCTGTGACAGGAGATCAAAATGACATAAGTATACGATCTCCCTTTGATCTCCTCTCAGTCCCCGAATGCAGGAAGTGATGTATATTACCTCACTTCCCGCATTCAGTGTCACTCTGCAGCTACGGAAGCTGATGAAGCAGATATCGGCTTCATCCGCTTCTCTGGGGGGTCCCTAGGTCTCCATAAAGAGGACGTGTCATGTAAATTGGGTATTCCATAGGGGGCTTCTTAGCCCCCCATGTAATAGCAATAAAGTTGTGTGTAAAAAAAATAAACATTTTTTTTTAAAAAGCAATAAAAAAAAATAAAGCATACAATTAAATAAGAAAACAATTTTCTTTAAGTCCCCGCCCCCCCCATTTTTTTTTTTACGGTACTTTTTTTTCATTATATAGTACAATAAAATAACACCGCCCCCCCAACAACAGTGGTGATTATATACCTCCAAAATAAAGCTCTATCTGTCCCCAAATTTTTTTTACATAAATTGCAAGGCCATAGTCCGGTCATGCGGACTGGTGACATCCCCTAACACTTTTCAAGCCCTGTGTGTATATATACAGGTGAAACTCGAATAATTAGAATATCGTGCAAAAGTAATTGCAGTAAGTGCTGCAAAAGGGGGCCCAAACCAAGTACTGAGTACATATGCATGCTTGTACTTTTCTGAGGTCCGATATTGTTCTATGTACAATCCTTGTTTTATTGATTGCATGTAATAATCTACTTTTTTGATGCGCACATTTTTAAAAATAGCAAGTGTTTTTAAATAGAAAAAAACAAAAACCTTCTTGCTAAAACGAAAGCAGAATAGAAAACATCAACTACTTCCATCTGCAAGAACACAGAACTGGTCTCCTAGGACTTGTGCAGCCTTCACAGAACTGCTCAACATCAACCCTCAACATCCACTGCCAGGCCCACAGTGGACTTTCAGGGCTGATGTTGACCAGTTCTGTGAAGGCTGAACAAGTCCTAGGAGATCCAATTTAAGGGGGTGAAGGATTTACAGGAGCACAGGTCATACTACAATCTGGGTGTACAATCTCAACTACATTTACCAAAACTATGTAATAGGAGGACAACATGCAGTCCAGCCAATTTACATCCAGCCACACAGGCCCTTATATTACATAGATGTTGGTAGCTCCAATCAGATTATATAGTGTATGATCAGCTTAAAAGGAGAAGTATGAGATGAGTGCTTTTCACTCACCTCATAGTTCTAGCCGACCTGTGACAATGAGACTGTCACAGGTCGGCTCAGTAGATCGGGAGGTGAGCGAACATATACCAACGTTCGCTCACCTCTCGATCCTGTCACGGCTCTCTACCGTGACGGGGGAGGGGCTGGATTCCCCCATACCCGCTCCGATCCACCACCGCTGACTGGCGGAACGGACGGGGGAGGGGGCGGGTACAGCTGGCTCTGCCTCTAGATAGGCAGAGTCAGCTGTCACTCACGCAGCTGGGCGGATCTCTACATCGCTGTCGGGATCCGATCTGGCGTCTCAGTATACCGCGAGCTGTAGCTCACGATATACTGAGCTTTGGGTGACGGGAGGACGCTAGTTTGTGTCCTCCCGTTACCCTAAGGAGAACTATGGGGGAAAGCCTTAACCCCATAGTTTTCTAAGCCATACAAACATATTTTAAATTGGCATATTCCTATTGAATGTCACTAGTGGGATATGGTTTGCAGTGTTATCCTTTTATGCATTCTGCAGTATTATCTACTACACTAGATATTGCATGTTACCTGGTAAAGTAAATACAGTATATGTATCCTGAGGTGTACCAAATAAAACTAGAGACTGCAACATACACAAGTTAAAATATTTAATATATTAGCCCCTGAGACATCTCAAAGATACACATTAGATGTTTAATGCAAACAAAAAATCCTAAACTATTTATTTTATTAACAATATTTAAACAATGCAAAGTTTCATTTTGTCATCACTGTGTGGATTTTATTGAGAACAGAAGAGCTTTTACACACACAAAAAAAAGAAGCACATCACTGTATAGTGCCCCCTGGTGGACACACAGAGTTCATGATCCCAGTATGTAGTACAGTGCAGCTGTTTATCAGACAAATGCATCTTCCACACTTCAGTAACCTTTCTTTCCACGAAAGCGTGCTCTGTTGTCCAGCTGAAAATAAAAACATAAAAATCATTATTTCAGGAGTGTAAAAGGAGATTTGCAAAGATGAAAAAAAAGAAGCAAAATTGTAACTTGTAAAATGATCAGTGTTGAACATTAATGCTTCAGTAGTTCCATTTCTAGCACAGTTTAATGCCAGTACATGTAGGTATTTAATGAAGAACTCCAGAAATAAAAAACAACCCTCCCCCCAAAAAAAAACAACTTACTCCGTTCCAGCTGTGGAATGTCCCTCGGCGTCCTCACGTCTAATGCAAGTAAATGGGCCTGCATTAAACAATATGATGGCAGCGTCCTTAGCCCAGGGAGAGACTGAGGAACAGGTTAGTAGATCTACTTTATTTGACTCCGCTAGATAAAAGGAGCACTTAACCCTTGCCATGTGGGGGTAGACACACTACAAGGGTAAGTTGTTTTTTTTTTTTTTAATTCCGAGAGTTCTTCAATCCTATATAGAGGATTGAGCACAGCAAGCGGATCACTTGCAGAAAACGAAAATCACTTGCTGCAAATAAAAAGAAACTATACCAAGATGATAGCAGCAGCAGCCATGATCTTGGTTAACTATTTCAGGTCCAGGATGTATATGTTACGTACAGCAGTCCTGAAGTAGTTAAACCACACCAGTGCATGTTTTCTGAGTGTTTGAATGAACATTCAAGTTAAATTAAAGAAGAAAAAATAAAGAGTGTCATGGGCACTCAGAAATCGGTTTCCCCCACTGTGTGGGAGTGGAGCAATTTGCAACAGATTCATGGAAATGTCACTATGGTGTATATCAGGGGTCTCAAACCTCCAGGCCCTCCAGCTGTGGTGAAACTACAAATCCCATGATGCATCTCTTTGGGAGTCATGTCTGTGGCTGTGAGAATCTTGCAATGCCACATGGGATTTGTAGTTTCACCACAGCTGGAGGGCCCGAGGTTTGAGACCCCTGGTGTATATGAATCTGTTGCAGAAAGTGTGGCAAATGCTTTATCGAATCACCCCGATTATTTGCTACCATTCATTCCAGAGGGATTTCTTACCATGCACTGCTGCAGAAAAAAAATAGTTTAGACATGTTTTTCCTGCATTGTATTGAAGCAAACTAATCTGCACAGACTTTACAGATCTATTCCATTCTTAGTGGTCACTGGGAGGAATTAAAGCTCCCTATGCCAAATTATAAAGCAGATCTATCTGCCCCCCTTTGCAGTTTGTGTTTCACAGTGAAATAGAAACTGTTGTGGGTTCCGCATCTGATTAACGCAGGGATTGTGTCAGTTTTCAATACAAAAAACTGACGTAAATCACCACACTGGACCTGGTTTACAGGATGTAAAGTCCGCAGGAAACCTGGGAGACAGCGCAAATGCTTCTCTACATATCAGAGTCTGCATATAGAGCAGAGGGAGCAAGTAGCTCCAGCTCTCCTGCGCGCTATGTCTTTAGAAAACAGAACAGATCGTTCCTTATTAACAAAGAAGCTTGGGCCCCTTTGCTCTGTTTTATCTGTTTAGAAGAGTGCCACAGGCTCTACGTCTGTGCCAAACTTTGTTACCTCCCACGCTTTGTTAACCTTTGGTAAAAGACATGCGTTAAACTGCAGACAAATGTTTATTGAAGCCCAACAACAGTGTTCCCTATGGGCCCACCGACACTGATTTGCTTCAAATACACTCAATGAAACACAAGTTACCGCAATGAAGGTTCTGCCATTTGTTTTGAATGCCACTTCAACATGAATACATTGCACCCACACTGTGGCCTACCAAAAACCATTTCTATAGGCCCTTTGTGTAGACCTGAATAGGATTTCAGATGCCTCTACTAAACATGGCAAAACAACCAAGTACAAGGATACACTTTAGAAGTGCTGCCACTAGGGGTCCATGAACACAGTGGGTGCAATGGTCACTCCAGATCTTGTTCAGGGGCAGCTTTGATGGTCCCCAGAATACCATGCACAAAAATTGCCAAAAAACAAAAAAGCACCAAATCCAGCTGCTATACACATTTGCAAAAATCATCTTTAACCACTTCAGGACCCACATGTGACACCCCCTTCTTTTCAGGCCATTTTTCAGCCTTTCGTGTTGAGATAGGTTGACTGAGAATTACTTGGTCATACAACACTGTACCCAACTACAAGGCATTCTCTGGATGGACAAGGTGGAGAGGAGGAGGGTATGACATCACAATCTCTTGCAGTGAATTGCTGCATGTCAAAATCCCTCTTTAGTTGGTAACAGATGTCATCTAAAATGTCTCCCTTTATTCTTTAGTCATTAGGCTTCCCAGAAAGTGAAATATGTATGAGATACACTATATTGACAAAAGTATTGGGACACCTGCCTTTACACGCACATGAACTGTAATGGCATCCCAGTCTTAGTACATAAGGTTCAATATTGAGTTGGCCCATCCTTTGCCGCTATAACTGCTTCAACTCTTCTGGGAAAGCGTCCACAAGGTTTAGGAGTGTGTCTATGGGAATGTTTGACCATTTGTAAGGTCAGGCACTGATGTTGGACGAGAAGGCCTGGCTCGCAGTCTCCGCTCTAATTCATCCCAAAGATGTTCTATCGGGTTGAGGTCAGGACTCTGTGCAGGCCAGACAAGTTCCTCCACCCCAAACTCGCTCATCCATGTCTTTATGGACCTTGCTTTGTGCACTGGTGCACAGTCATGTTGGGACAGGAAGGGTCCATCCCCAAACTGTTCCCACAAAGTTGGGAGCATGAGATTGTCCAAAATGTCTTGCTATGCTGATGCCTTAAGAGTTCTCTTCATTGGAACTAAGGGGCCAAGCCCAACTCCTGAAAAACAACCCCACACCATAATCCCCCCTCCACCAAACGTTACACTTGGCACAATGCAGTCAGGCAAGTACCGTACTCCTGGCAACCGCCAAACCCAGACACGTCCATCGGATTGCCAGACAGAGAAGCGTGATACGTCACTCCAGAGAACATGTCTCCACTTCTCTAGAGTCCAGTGGCGGAGTGCTTTACACCACTGCATCTGACGCTTTGCATTGCACTGGGTGATGTAAGGCTTGGATGCAGCTGCTCGGCCATGGAAACCCATTCCATGAAGCTCTCTACGCACTGCTGTGCCAATCTGAAGGCCACACAAAGTTTGGAGGTCTGTAGCTATTGACTCTGCAGACAGTTGGCGACTTCTGCGCACTGTGTGCTTCAGCATGCGCTGACCCCGCTTTGTCATTTTACATGGCCTACCACTTGGTGGCTGAGTTGCTATTGTTCCCAGTTGCTTCCACTTTGTTATAATACCAATAACAGTTGACCGTGGAATCCTTGTGTCATCACGCTGTATACAAGTGTATAGACATGAGGATACTGAGGAACATTCCATCTGTGCAGCGGAGGAGGACACACGCTTCAGTGAGCAGCGAAGCAGGGAGTCGGTTCGGCAGTTCGGATGAGTATACCTTTTTTTTTTTTTTTAGCACCTAGCAGTTAACCCTGCAGTGCGGGGGTAGCCCCACTGCACAGGTTAATAAAGCTTTTCCCTGAAGTTCTTCTTCAAGGCTAAACTCTGGGATAAGCAAATATTGTCTAAATACAAGAAGCATGTAGATTCTTACTTGAATCTTTGTGTGTGTTGTGTATTTCCTTCAGACCCGTGCAGTAATTTAGCCATTTTGTGCAAGAGCTTCCTGTATTAGGACCGGTCACTGCTGCTCTTTCTTTGGGCAGGGTGACTGGTCTCGTATCTGCCCCGCCTATAGTTTTCTGCAGGTAGCATGTAGAGGGTGAAACCTGCACTCTGCAGCTCACTGATGTTGTCATTACTACTTTTACAATGTAATATCTGTGTTTGTAAAGACATTTGGTGCACACAAAGTGGATTTATATCCTTTGTGGCTATAGAGGAACATTTTTTCACCAACAGTTTTTGTGCCCAGAGTTCAGCTTGTTTATCTGCTTGATAAATGTCCCCCATTGGGTTCTTGTATGAGAGCAAGAAACTGGATGAAGTAGCCAAGGTTTTACGAAATATACTGCAGTACTTAAAACACATGAAATAGGACTCACAATTGATCTTTTACACTCAAAAAAGGTGACTTGCAGAGGTCTGCAGTGGCCTTCTTTTAGACATTGCCTTGGCGTCTTTCCCTCCTGCAAAAAAAAGACAGCAATCTTTAGGAAAATAAAATAGAACTTTCAATACATAAATACAAGTAAAGTCCTACTCTGGGCACAATCATTTTCAGTTTTAGAGCTACGAGTCCTGCTACTGCATACTTGCAGCAGTGATGCCAACGGGAAGCGCATGTAAGACCGATAGCAGCAATGGTGTTGTGTCTCTGCTCCCAACCATTCAGAAAACACAGCTGTCAGGCCACTGATGTCTATCATACATGCAGCGCCGATGTCTGGAGAGGGCTGGAAGTACAGCATGAGCTGGAAAATCCCTGCTTTTTGAAGAAATCAGCTCTTCACTTTCTGCAGAGATAAACATGTATTAAAAGAGGACTATAGCCAAACCTTTTTTTGGTGGGGGTGTTAGTTATCATTTGGGTCACAGGAGTTCATTTACTAATGACCCAAAGCCAGCATCTAGCGAGCTGCTATTTGCTGAGAGCCGGGTAAGATAGAAACAATATTGTCAGCTGCCTCTCTACAGCCAGAGCCAGCTGTCCCCGCCCCCTTCCAATGAGAACTGGAGGGGGATCCCTGCAGGGAGTGCTGAATGGCAGTCACTGTTCTCTGCAGGAAGAAGCCATGAGCTGCTAGTGTTCGCTCAGCTCTCGATCTATAGAGCCGACATGCCAGAGCTGCAGCGTCACACAGCAGCTCTAACTATGGGGAAGAGTGTACTTTGCTCTCCCAATGCGTGTCCTTTAATAGCTCTAAAACTATTACAATACTGGTGACCAGAATTGGACTGAATTCAGTAAAATATTACACCTACAATACTGTGCAAAAGGTTTGGGCATATCTGTAAAAAATAAGTCAAGGCAACTGGACTTGCTGTATTTGTCTGGAAGATGTTTCACTGGTCATCCGACCAGCTTTCTCTATTTAGAATGACTTGTACAAAAACTATCTGGGAATAAATATGGTGAATGTTGCTCCAATCCACATAATCTGATAGTTGCAACCAGGCGTTGAATGTATTTGCATAATTGGAGTCTTGGGCACTCACCTGTAAAGTAAGTATGCGGTGTCCACTGATTGCCTTTAACGTGGGAGTGAAGTGCTGACAGGCAGGCCTTTTATGACAAACGAGAGATTAAGTCTCTTCTGCCATACAAATCTTCTTCCTTCTTGTCAGCAATTTATTTTTTTTGTTTCTGTACGCTGAGCCTCACATGTGCAGCTCAGTAGGATTCTTACGGAGATGATGTAACTCTTATGTGCGGAAGTGAAAACATTGGGGCCTGGCCACCAAGCAGGCAACAATTCCAAACCTGGAAGATGGGGACGAAGATGGAAGTGCTGGCGAGGGAGAAGAGCACTGACATTGCTGCGCTGGAGGGGGATCAACTAACTTCTATAGCCCGGGCGAGTCTGCCATTAAGTGCTTATATGACATGCATACTAGCACATAGTGGCTATAAACTCCAGGGGGAATCTTTCTTCTCCCCCGCTTTACTTCCTCTTTAAAAAAGCATAAATTCTCTATGGTGCACTTGCAAAGTTAAGGGTTTTTCAGGCACATGGTCCATTACATGATGACAGAATTATAGCAAACAAGTGCTAATGATTAACAAGGTGTAGGTTAAATGCAATTATTAAATCAAATCACAAGAACTATGCTCCATAGTAATATTAGAACAAAGGACAGAGCATATCCACGAGCCTCAGCAGCATTTTAATAAGGTGTGGGCACCTTCCAATCTTGTATATGGACTCTGAAAACTTTTTTTTTTGTAGTCACAGGATATAGTGAGCTCACATGTGTCATCGGACCCGATTACTGCCCTGGTTCATTTTTGCTGCCCCTAACCATTGGTTTCTTGGACTGCCATGTGGTGTTCCCTCAACCTCCGTCTTCTTCTTTATCCTCTATACCTCTTTCTCTGTACTCCTATCAATCTCCTTAGGGAGCAACTAAGCAACCTCAAGTTATTAGGTTCTTTAACCAGCTTTATGCCAGCTGTAGGATACTAGGATGAGGAGACAGTCATACCATACCACACTGAACTGCATTTGACAATGGCTGCCCATACAGGGCAGGGCTGTGGTGTTACTTTCATACTTTCCTACTTCTGTGTTTTTGTATTTGACAGTTTTACACAATAGCAAGCCTGAGCACAGCAACAACACATAGGGCAATCTTGCAGCATCAACAAGGTTTCTCACAGGAAGAAAGAAGCAAGACAGGCATTTTCAGATGTGCTGTTTAAACTCTCCTGCAGAAGCACAAAGAAACAGGCAACACTGAGGACCGCAATTGCAGCCGTCAGCCAAGTAAACAGTGCAGCAGGTGAAAGACACATCTGGTTGACTTTACCTAGCAATCAGAAGATGTTGCGTGACTCCAGCATCCCAGACCTGGTAAAAACCAGTAGGACTTTGATACACCCATCTACAGTCAGGAGAAGTCTGGTGTACTTTAGAGTAGGGGATTTGGTCAGAATTAATAGTCTCCTTAATACTGACAAGTTCAGTCAGAAATGTATCCATCATGCAGTACCATATAAGGGGGGGGGGGGGGGGGTGACACCCTTAAA